GGAACACAGCATTATTCTTGCGAAAGGTAGGTATGTGGTTGTTCCTTTCTAGGTCCATGGTTTACCTACTAAATATCTTGCCATCCCTTGTCGGGCAAAACTTTTTCTTCATTCTCAGCTCCGTCGCTTGCTGCATGTTATCCTCTTGAACACTCATATCATGGTGAATTCAGTCTCCAGGTAACAGGTGAAGATTTGTCTCATTGTTGAGGTGTAATTAAGTTTCCTGAAAAAGACCACTTGTTGACTTTATGTATTATATATCTTTTGCTACATTTGCATATGTATATGGTGTGTGTACACATATTCATCATCCTGTAGATTTCTGAGCAGCAGTTGCAGGGTGTGAATTGACGAACGATATATATATATAACTTCAACGCCGAATGTTTTTTTGGTCAGGCGATTAGTTTGTGACTTGCTAGTTAACAATGTTATGTACTATACTATATGGTTATGGAGGACAGGTACTCTGGTGTACTGCCTTGTTAGGTTCTGATGAAACAGACGAAACCAACTTAGCCACGTTTCAGAACATTTTTTAGAAAAGGATGCATCGTCAAGCAAATGAAGTAGTGGTTTTATTAGGCTGTACGTGGACTATCCCCTGGTGCTGTAATAAATTCAAGTTGCATTGTCAGTCAATACAATCCATGACATTTTGGAACCTTTTGAGGGCCACATGCAGAGAGCAGCTAGCTAGTTTCTCATTTTGAAGGACGGACGGATGGCTGGATTTGACAATTGGTTAGTCAAAATGAAATCTAACTTGTATGGTTGGTTATCCTATGTCACACAGGCGCGCTGTTTCCTCGCGAGTAGTAGGAATCAGATCAGTTTCCCTTTTTCTCTCATCTCATTTCGAAAGCTGCATAATTTCAGCCATGAATTCAATTTGCATTCTACGTAGAAGCAGTCTCAGTTTGACACATTGTAGTCAAGCTGACCATGCAACACCGCAGCCATCATGTATGAGTTCTCTTGTGCACTAGTACATATAATTCTTTTTTCGCCGAGGTAGGTAAATCTGTTGATGTCACCATTTACAAATATATACTTGTGGACAGGATTGCAGAGGTGGCACATGCATGAATGCTTTGCCAAGAATTCTTTATATTCCTGAGATTGAGATCCAGGTCTCATGCATCTTTTCATCAGGTGACTTGGAAACTTCGTCTATCTAACGTAGTAACTTTGCTGCTTCCCTATGCATGTACGCTTTATCTGAAGCACATATATATAAAGGTTAATTTCAGGAGAAAAGTAACCCCCTGAAGAGATAGATAACAAACATGTGTTAAAGCTAGCACCTTTATTAGCTTGATGCAAGGGCATCATCACCTGGTGTAGTATCTGATAGATATATCTCCAACTGCACCCCTAATGTTGGCCTTTGCTTGCATTGTCAGAGATAGATAGATTGCTCCATCTGGATGCTGTGATAGTGGGCTGAATTCATGTCTGAAATAACAAGAGAGCCTTCTTCTGTAATCTGCATGCATATGCAGTATCTCTCTCTTGTCTCCTCTTTAACCTACTACCCTTACCCTCTATATATGGTCAGATAAACAGTAGTTATATATCCTCCTATCCTAGCTAATACAAGTGACCTAGCTAAGGAAGGATAGGCAAAAGATATATAGATCGATGTTGGATCTTTTCCATAGTCTTATCCTTCCTTCCTTACAAAGTACTAGCTAGGACTAGACGACTAGTAGCAGTGCAGTTGGTACGTTCTCACACAGGTACAGTCCTACAAGTAAGCCAAGTCTACAAACATGTATTTGTTGAAATACTGATGTAAGCAAACCGTGCAAGTCACTGTAGACCGACTTGCCAAAATAGCCAAACATTAGACGGAACCTGAGCTCTAGCCGTTCAACAATTAATGGTACGTGGTCTGTTTGTCCCTGACATATGTCAAAGTATGACATGATTATTAGACAGCGAGAGGGAGAAATTTTATTTTCTTGACACATCATCACATGCCATGCATACTAATAATGAACAATAAGTAATTTTTCACATGCATTTCGAAATAAGCTAAACTCATCCCTAGTAGAAATATGTAGAGAATAGTATTACATTTACATGCAGTTTTTGGGTATATATATGTCGATGACTCAATTTTCTTAACAAAATCTATAAGTATGAGGATTTATATACCAAAAAAAAATTCTGCAGGCATTATTAGTTCATTACTTGTCAAATTAATCTGAAGAAAAAGCCATATATAATTAAGCTCATCGACGACCGAACTGAATTGAAGGGCCGACCGGTAGGTGTAGGTATAGCTATGTGATCATTACTTTGTCAATGGCAAAGCAGCAGCAGCAGCAGCTTGAGCTTGCAACAAGTTTTTGGTGTCAAGATTAAACGGATTGCATAAGCATGCACAGGAGAGGCCAGCTGCTAAAAGGGGATTCCAAGGAAGCTTTATTTTGAGAAGAGTGAAGAGTCGCATCGCAAATGCAAGTTGTGCAGAAAGCTGGACAGTCAATGGCTTGTGGTGTGGGGAAATGAGGCCTACCTACTGCTAACTAATTCTACGACTTCTCTCCCCAGCTGGGGCACAGAAAATAACATATCATCGTCAAGTTTTGTTTCCCTCCTCTTCTTTTTTTTCTTTCTTTTGGACCGGGTGATGGATGGAGCTAGCAGCCATCGCTATACAGTTAGCTGCTGCCGTTTTAACTAAAAGTACACTCATAGCTAGCTGATGATGATATTTTCCGCTTCGAGTTTTCTCATTCCCAAGGAATCTGTACAAGAAGAATCCATGCACAAGCAAACAAAAACACCCCAGGCATATCGGAGACATGCATGCGCTTTGTGGGTCTCCTTTATAGTTTTTTTGTTTGCTTTCCGTATACTACTTTGTTCAAAGCATGCTTGCATGCATCTTTAAATCTGAACAGACATATGTTACTATATTCATCTCTATAAATTTGTGAATTTAATTAACATGGAACAACTTGCATTAGCTAACCTAAATATATATTTGAGCTTAATTGGTCAAATGATGATCAGTGCCACATGCATGTACTATTAACCTAGCTTGCTAGTTTATCTGGGCCGCCGGCCGGTCAGTAAAAAATAAAAAACAAGCATTCAGTTTGGAGTTCTAGAACCTTATTGGGGGTAATTGATATAGTGTACTAGTGTAGTAACTTTCTCATCACGTAGTTTCTCCACTGAGACAAGCTACCCCGGCCGTCCTTCTCCAACCTCAACTAACTCATTTTTAATCTTATACCGTTTACATGCATGTTATGTACCCTGCAAGTTAGTGATGTGTCTGCATGCTAGTCAATTCTACTCAAACAAGTAACCTCACTCGTTTTGAAAAGACTCAAGGGTCGGAAAAGAAGCAGGACATGCATGCTGCCGTGTACTGTTGGTTCTCTATTGACTTGATACTGGGTCGAGGTACTATTCAATCAAGAACACATATATATCTATTTATGCACAAAATGTAATCACCATAGACTCCCTCACATGCATGTTGTATTAGCTTTTCCTAAATCAAACATTAAAATCTTTAACCATGAATTTAAATTTTTTTGTATAGGTTAACAACATAATATTATTTATGTTAATGTATAATTCACATGTTATGGAAGTACCTGGATTTCTTAAAATTGGTAGTCAAAGCAGATAGAAATGTCTGACTTAGAGCACAACTAATATGGTATGTAATTTAAAACAGAGGGAGTATACTTAGCGATGACTATGAAAAACTTCTCGTTGTTGTATGTTGCTGTTAACTCTCTGAATAAAGCACTGCTATTTTCCTAGTAATCGCAAAAGAAAATAAAGTACTGCTGTTTTTAGACTAATTGATAATGAAATAAAACTGGTTCACATGTTCTTGTCTAGTACATACGTAGTACGTCCTTATATTTTAGACAATTAACATTCCAAAAAATGTTATAATTAGTATTAAGTTGGACTATCAATTTCAGTAGACAATTATACATGTAGTCTTTGTCACGGATATACAACATATATATAGGCTTATGATTGACATGGTCCATCTCCAGTATAATGGAACAAAAGGGTCAATTTGGAAAAAAGGACACCTACAGTAGAATTATAGATACAGCCAATTAATTAGCACCTAGTTTTTGTCAAACATTGTCACGACCTCAGCTTAGATTCATTTCGCAAGTAACACTAGTAGCAAATGGCGTGTCAACCAAGTACATATATAACATATGAAATAGTCACACTCGGGTGTGTGGAAAAGAAAACCTCGTTTAATTTATATATATATATATATATATATATATATATATATATATATATATATATATGTCACAAGGTAAACATTACAAGTATATGTGTGTGCCCTCCTTGCAAAGGCAAAACAAAAGCAAAAAAACTAAAAAAACAAATTGAAATCGTTTAGGTGAGCATATATGTATATATGTATGTAATTTTGTCGTTGGTTCTTTGTACATAGCTAAAATGAAGTGGGCCAAACCACCTTTTATCCTATCAACAGACAAACTTCACATCTTCAAAGAAGTGTGCAACAACCAATCCCATGCAAAGAAACGGTTTCTCCATCATATATCAATCCATCTTTTCAACTTTTCATCAGTTCTTCATCTGACTCCTATATATGAAAGATACGTGTCATTTCTTGTCACAGCTGATCATTGGGGTTGTTCAACCATGACATTTGCCTGCACATGCACCAAAAGACAAAGAGAAAGAAAAATACATGGTGAGATCAGAGGCAACTACAAGCAAATAAACAGTGTATATACTATATACATAATGTTACTATTTAATAAGCTATGATTTTTTTTGGAATCCGGCCTATTCCTAGCTAGCTAGTAGTAGCCATATATATTTACATACATATATTTAACTTTCCCACATATATACTTGTACCTAGAAATTTTAATCCTAGGTAGAAAATATATATAAGTAAATAATATAAAGTTGATGTATGGCATGGTATGCTAGCTGCTATGGTGCTATGGCTATACTCACTCTAGCAATTCTCTCCAACTGTCGCTGTTGGGGTCAAAATCCAAGGTGAGGTTGTCCAGGCCGTCGAACGGGCTCGATGCTGGCGTCTCCTCGCACGGTGATGGGGTCGACGAAGTGCCGACGCCGTTGCCGGCATTACACCCCTCGGCTGCCGGTGCCAAAGGTGGCGGCATCGCGGCAGCAGTGATGTTGCTCCCGGTGGTGGCCCCGCTGTGGCCGTGCTCCGTGGAGCTGAGCCCGTCCCCGGTGAGAGCGGCCATCGTCCCGGCACCGCCGCCGAAGCCGTTGAGGAGCCCGGAGAGGGAGTAGGCGGAGGACATGGACGACGACATGCCCTGCGTCACCGCCGGCACGCTGGTCAACGCCGGAAGGCTGAGCATGCCGTCATACTGCTGGACGACCCTGCTGGCGGTGGTGGTGCTCTGCTGGTCGACGCCGCCGGCGAGCAGCTGGTGGCCACCGCTGGCCGCCCCTCCATTGGCGGCGGCGAGGAGGGTCATGAGGTCGACGGTGGGCGCGGCGGGGGCGGTGAGCACGCGGACGAGGCCCTCGAGGAGCTGGTACTTGGCGGCGTCGGCCTGGAGCCTGAGCGCGTTGATGTCCCAGCTAGCATGCGAGGCGGCGGCGGCGGCGAGTGGACCACCACCACCGTGACCGTGACCACCAGCGGCGGCGGCGAGGTTGGCAGCGGCGAGGAGGTTGGTGAAGCCGCCGGCGGCGAGGAGGTTGAGGTCGGTGCGCGGCTGGTGCGTGACGGGGTCGATCCCCATGCCCAGCAGCTTCTTGCGGAGGTGCGTGTTCCAGTAGTTCTTGATCTCGTTGTCGGTGCGGCCGGGCAGCTTGGTAGCGATGGAGGACCACTTGTTGCCGAGGAGGGAGTGGAGGTGGATGATGAGCTTCTCCTCCTCGTCGGTGAACCGCCCGCGCTTGATGTCCGGGCGGAGGTAGTTGGTCCAGCGGAGACGGCAGCTCTTGCCGCAGCGGTTGAGGCCGGCGAGCTTGGGCAGGCGGCGCCAGCTGCCGTGCCCGTTCTCATTTATGTAGTCGACGAGCAGCTTGTCCTCCTCCGGCGTCCACGGGCCCTTCTTCACCCCCGCGTCCTGGTCGCAGCACGGTGACCTCCCCATTGTATTGCTTGCTTGCTTCGACGACCGACCTTGCCTGGCTTGGAGTTGGAGAGAGAGGATGACGATGACGATAATGAAGAAGCTGAGAGAAGAAGAGAGGAAGGAATGCAACGAAGGTCTTGTGGGGTTCGTTGGGGTGGATGGCAGGGGGGTTTTATAGAGGTTTATTAGCGAGATAAGCTAGGGTACGGAGGTGGCGTGCATGGCAGCAAAAGCATAGTACTAGTGGTAGAAGTGCCTGTACCTGTATACACACATGATAGTATAGAAGCATGCATGGCTGCTGAGCAAGGAAGCTACTACTGCATAGGTGGATGTGGTGCCGGCCAGCCAAAAGCAAGTCTTTGCTTGTGTGCAGGAGATGCCGCAGCTTCCTCTCTCTGACTCTCTCTCTCTCTCTCTCTCTCTAAGTCCATCCCTCTCTCTAACTCCCTCTCTAATTTCTCTGTGCTGACCTCAGAGAGAGAGAGAGATTAGGAGGAGCGTGCATTAGTCTAAGACGTCGTCGTTAATGGCCAATGCGATGCATGCAGACTGTGTTTCTCATCAGATCAGGCTTTGTTGTTGTTGCTTAAGCATGTAGTACTAGTTTCGTTCTCATCATCATCAGTTAGATACGGTACTGTATTTTCTTGCGTTTGTTAAGTTCCGTACGTAATCCCACTTTATTAGTTTTATAATATATATAGTTATTTCCTGGCAGCAGCACAGCACACAAATGCAAGTGGCGTCGTGTCATCACCGCTTACACATCATATATATCATACATACGTACGCATGCAACAGCATGTGCTGCCTAGCCTAGCTCATATATATTTGTATGTCATATATAATATAAATTCTCCCAAAATTTAATCAAATAGACTAGAAGCTTCCTTATTAGCTTCCCATGCACAAATACAAGTTAGTACTATATATACTTACGTTGTGATTGTGATGTGATGTGATGATGCCATCTCTCTCTACGAGTCTACGTACATATACAATACAATGCATACATGAAGTATACAACATATGCATGCGGATATGCCCCATGCATGCATGCACACATGCACTGAGTGTTAAGCTAGCGATGTGCACACGTACGAGCTACGTCGTATACGTACGTAGATCAGTAGGTGTGGTGCGGCATGCATGCATGTGCACCACACCACACCAGAGCAGAGGCAACCGTATGTATATGTACTGCATGCATGCATACAGTACGTGATGTGTATACTAGTGTACTCTAGCATGTCCTTGAACTATTTTGTTTGGCCTTATTCGCTTGAACTTATCAGCCGTACCGTTTTAGCAAAATAACGGTATTTTTCTCTCACAACAAATCAACATCAACATCAACATCAGCATCAGCATCAGCCGTTTTTTCCGACCAGCCGAACATGACCTTTATTTGGCCTTATATATATCATGTATTCCTATATATAGTACGACTGCTAATCATTTCAAAGCGCAAACACATAGTCTCTATGGGGGCGACCTGTGTTACGTACTAGCTAGCTTCAACAGGGAAGGAAACACATTTCCATCACATACACACAGGCATACATGATACATGCATAGTACTAGAGAGTGATATGTATATATATAGCAATATGGAATCCCAATTCCAATCGGGCGTGCGTTCACTCGGAACGAACGCAGCGAATGATTGGTTGTCCGAGCTGCATGCGCCCACTCCTCTGTTCACCGCTGACGTGATAAAAAAAAGCGAAACATTTATTAAAATTTATGTGTATTATTTTTGTATAACTTATAACTTACAACTTATGCACACAAGTTGATTGAATAACTTTTTGCTAGTCGGATTCATTCGGTGGCATGACTACACCTGCACGAACGTTCCTTTTTTCTTCCATTTTTTGTTTTTTACCATTTTTCTCTTTTTTGTTATATATTTATATGTTATACTACATACTTATTTTAATATATAGTTTTCATATTTCAACTAATATGTTATGATATTAATTTGTACATCTAAGTTTTTAATATAACTTATACGTCCAACTGTACTCTAAATCATTCATCAAGTTATATATCTAAGTTATACGAATAAGTTATATATAAAAGTTTTGTGTATAACTTTGTAGCTTCTATGAAATTATATTGATAAGTTTGTTCCGCAAAATATTACACATAAAAGTTATGCATATAACTTTGTCACGTAGTTAGTTATATGTATGAGTTATGTGTGTAACTTTGCCGACAACTTTGTAACGTTGATGGTATATGTTGAAGTCATGTGTATAAGTTATATGTATAAGTTAGACGTTGAAGTTTGTTCACCAAGTTATACGTAAAAGTTATAAGTATAACTTTGTAACTTCCAAAAAAGAAAAGTTGCTAAATATTTTTTTGCCAAAAATGGAAAAAAATTTCCAAAAAAGGAAAGTTGCGGAATTTTTTTTACTAAAAATGGAAAGTCGTGGGGTTGTCGGATCGTTCACCAGATTAGAATATGGTGAACGTCCGCTAATTAGCGTGGCCAATATGGAATACTCCCTCCGTCCTATAAAAAATTATATATCTTTTTGTTCCATGGTTAACCAATCTCAAGTTTAAACAAACATATATGAGAAAATTACTAATGTTTATATATCTAATAAGTATATATGTATGGATACTCCAAAATATATTTTCTTAGTAAATCTATGATATATAAATACTATTAGTCTGTTGTACAGTATATAAACGGATACTCCATTTAATAATAATAATAATAATAATAATAATAATAATAATAATAATAATAATAATAAAAAATAAATAAATAAAAATAATTGGTGTATCCAATCACAGGTACGTACCTTATTATTAGGTTGCTAATTAATTGTTGTTTAGGGCGTGAAGTGAGCAGTGAATTAGGATGGAACAGGGGCCGGAGAGGTTGGCAGGCACGTGTGCAGGGGCAGAGGAGAATTAGGTTTCATGCGACCTGACCTGACACGTGCTGCGCGTCGCCCCCAGCAATGCAAGGAGCAAAGAGCACGGAACGAGTAACTACCTGCCTGTTTCTGGGGGCCTGTTTGTTCCCTGACTGAATTTTAGTTCCTGTCTCATTAAATGTTTAGACACATATATGGAGTATTAAATATAGACTAAAAAAATAACTAATTACACAGATTGTGACTAATTTACGAGACGAATTTTTAAGCCTAATTAGTCCATGATTTGACAATGTGGTGCTACAGTAAATATGTGCTAATGATGGGTTAATTAGGCTTAATAAATTCGTCTCGTAAATTAGTCTCCATCTGTGTAATTAGTTTTATAATTAACTCATGTTTAGTCCTTCTAATTAACATCCAAACGTCCGATACGACTAAAATTTAGTCCGTGCAACCAAACAGCCATCCGGAAAAAAAAAACGCAATCCAACCTGGATATTGGACGGAGGGAGCAGTTGTGTGTCACACGCACGCAAACGCAATTTAGGTTGGTCATCTCACCCTGATACGACCGGAGCCGCCGGAGACACCGAGACAGACATGAGGCATGCATGACATGACACACCCAAACCCAAAGCCACACCGCACGGTCATTAGAGGGGTTCGGAGGGCCTGTGTTAGGGGGCCCACCTGACCAGTAGGGGCTCCTCCGGCTAGCTAGCCCCATGCATGTGGGGCCCACCTAACCCATGGATGTGTGCTCACCGTTGGCCCAACTGGCCCTGCTATCTGCTAGTATTATCTCATTCAGTATCTGCTAGCTAGCTGCTCTGCTTTGCCCAAAGTGATGATGATGACCTGCAGATTGACTATCACCCAAGCTTTATTTTCTTGGAAAAAAATAAATGTATACATATAATCTTAATGTGTGGTGCTTGTGCATATATGTGCAGGGTTGACTTGCAACATCTTGGTCATATGTGACTTGCTTGCTTATTAGTAGTTTTTTTGCATGGCTATATGTGTGTACATTTACATATATGGGAGTGAACATTCTAGTCATATGTGACTTGCTTGCTTATTAGTAGTTTTTTTGCATGGCTATATGTGTGTACATTTACGTTGTTCGCTTGAGCTTATCAACTAAAATCAATCATACTTTTTAGCCATGGAACAGCCACAGCCACAATAAGTCCTGTCGGCAATCTCGTTGGTCAGCTGCAGATATAGCTAGCCGTACATCTCAATCCATGTTGCATGGATCAGCCAGCTAAACTTGTCCTGCATGTTCTGATCAAACTAACCAGCTAGCCAATGCAATATACACTTGTGGATATATATATATATATATATATATATATATATATATATATATATATATATATATATATATATAAGTGTGCTAGCTGAACACATTACTAATTAATTAAACCACAACTAGATCGAGGTCCAAAGTAGAAGGAAAATCTAACAGCGTATTACATATTATGCAGTACCGATTAGATACAGATTCACCTTGCACAAATTAACATATTTAGAACCTAACTAAACCAGATGATAATGATATATTGCTGGAGGAGACACTTGGGTCCAATACGATTCCTCATCCTTCTTATATATAAATGACTTCATCACCAGCAGCCACCCAATGTGGTTGCAACTAATGCAATGCAAAACAGTTATGGTGGGTGGATGAGACGAATGCATACACATGCATACTTGTCTTTGTCTAGAAGTTTCAGATTGCATCCAGCAGCCAGGTTTCAGTAAGTATCAAACCAATGCAATCATGCACCCTATAATGAGATCTATATGCTTGACTAATATATGTATTATTATTACACGTATCAGTTTGTAGATCCCGTCTCTCTTGTAATGGAGGATCATTGTCATTACGACCATCACTATCAAGAGGACCTATTAATTAATACAAACTGCGAGCATCTGTCCTGATTTCCATTGCCATTTCTGCAAGAACCAGCTGCAGCGTAATTGGCTTGGCTTGTCTTCGACTACATGACTTGCATAATGGCCCTCCCGGTCTAACCAAACTATATAATATGATGATTTGGCGCGAGCGACTACCAAATTGGGACTGCAAATTAGTTATGC